ATATGGACTGGGCCGATTTATTAAATCTGTTAAAAAACATATCAACCATTTTAAAAGGAAGCTGGCCAATATATCAGACAAAATATATTTTAATGCTTTTATTAAAGACTTTATTGATTTTATCCAAAGGGCAGCTTTCAAAACACTTAAGAAAAAACCTAAAAAATTGGCCCAGAGATTCAGCTTCTGGAATGAGGGCCTCCGGACCGTTCGTAACAAAGTGAATAAGTTATTTAAAATTTATATGAGAGCAAAAGCTAACCATGACAGTGTTGACGCGATCCAGTCTTCCGGGATAGCTTATCGTAAAGCCAGGGCCGAATATAAAAAACTTCTTCTGACCACAAAGAGAAAGGCCTGGGAATCCTACTGCCTTAACTACAATGAACGCTTTGGTACCTTGTTTAATATAGTATTTAACAAACTCAATAGTGGCCATTCAATAGCAGTAAACCCTAATAAAGACCCTAACTTCACAGTTCAAGATAGGATATCTTATATAATGGAAGATTTTTTCCCAGGCCAATATCCTGGGGAGAGTTTGAATTATACCCCTTCTATCGGCCCTGTCGAACCCCTCAATATCGAAGATTTGGAAATAGTTTTTGGCAACTTAAAGGGGGGTAAAGCACCCGGACTGGACCGGATTGATTACCGTATGTGGAGAGCGGTTTTTAACATTGACAAGAATTTTATGCTGGACCTTTTTAACCTGTGTTTTAAATTGAACTACTTTCCGCTTTGTCTTAGAAACGCCAGGATCTTCTTCCTATTGAAAGATGGGAAGGATCCTGGCCTGAGTTCTTCGTACCGGCCGGTCTGCCTGTTACCAACTTTTGGCAAAATTGTAGAAAGGCTCTTTTTAATCCAATTAAATAGATGGCTAGATCGAAACAATATTATACATCCTAATCAATTCGGTTTTTTAGAGGGCAAAAGCTGCGATCTAGCCATCACCCAAATAGTGGAGACAATAAATACGAGAAGACCACTTGAACATCTTGCCCTCGTCTCCCTAGACATCAAATCCGCCTTCGACAATATGAACTGGCCGGTACTTTTTAACATTTTATCCAATTATGGACTTCCTGAGTTTTTTTTATGAATTTCTTATTTTATTACTTGGACAATAGAAAGGTATTTTACGTGAATGAAGTTTTTAAAGTTTTTAAACATTGTTATAGAGGTTGTCCCCAGGGGTCAGTGATTGCGCCTACGCTTTGGAATCTTTACATTAACTCAATTTTATTTAACAATAATGGAGAGTTTTATGTTCAAGCGTTTGCAGATGACCTGGCACTTATCATTGGGGGTCATACGGCCAGAGAACTCGAGAAAAATACTAATCTAGCTCTGGCCAAAATTTCCATCGATCTTGAATCCCTAAAACTATCATTATCTATACATAAGTGCCAGGCCGTGGTTTATCGAAGCATATCATCACAAAGGCTTTCTAAGCGCAATTCGACGATCCTAAATAGAAAACCTACGTTTAAAATCAATAACATCTCGATAAAAATTACCGATAGCCTGAAAATTTTGGGAATATATATTGACCAAAAGCTTTCGTGGACCGCCCACATTAATTCTTTACATGATAAAGTTTTAACTCTTACATCCAATTTTAACAGAATTATCAAATCGGATTGGAGTGTAGACAAAAACCTCATTAAGACCTGGTATCTTACCACCATAGAAAAGTCCCTGCTCTATGGCGCTAGCGTCTGGGGCGGGGCATTAACCAAAATCCAGGCTGATAGGCTACACTCCATCCAACGTGTATGTTTAATAAAATTTACAAGGGGCTATCGTACCACCTCTACCAACGTTTTAAATGTATTATCTGGTATCCCCCACTCCACATAACTGTAGAGGAGGCCGAGTATAAAAAATTTCAGATCTGGCTGAGGCACTCTAATCGATTTAATAATATAACAGACTCTGTACCACTTGATCGCAATATAAATATCAAAAACATACCATCAAACATTAAATATATCTCTCCGCCAGAACAGTTATCAAACCCAGATTATGAGGTATACACGGACGGGTCCAGAATGGATGAGGGTGTGGGGTTCGCCGTGTGTACCTTCAAAAACAACCAGAACTCTGACAACTTTCTATTTAAATTGAATATCTATAATTCTGTCTTTCAAGCGGAACTGGCGGCCATTCAACATGCAGCTAATTGGGCCGCCAGTAACAACCATAAGATCAACATTTTTACAGATAGTCTTTCGTCCATCATGGCCTTAAAGAGTGCCCACTCCAGATCACAGTTTGTCAATACCACTAAACAGATTTTATCTACAGCCAGGGATCTGGTCGGCCTTTCCTGGGTTAAGGCCCATGTGGGCATCCCAGGGAATGAATGGGCCGATCAACATGCAAAACTCGCTATTTCTGTTGGAGAGGAGTTGGAGATTCCGGCTCCTCGTTCGTATTTAAATCGCAAAATTAAGTCCTATATTTTACATAACTGGCTCACATATTGGAACAACTACAACTCGGCCTCGGGGATTAGGGTAAGAGAATTTATTGGTACGGTTGTCCCCGATTTTTAATCAAAAACAAGATTTTAATCTATTTTTTAAGTGGGCATGGTCCTTTTCCCTATTACTTAAATCGTTTTAAAAAGCTTGACTCCCCGCTCTGCGTCTGCGGATTGGTGGGCGATGCGGATCATTACACTTTTGAATGCTCGCTCACCAAAGAATATCATATTTTAAAACCCGCAGACGCCCATAAAAGAGCATGGTTTTTAAATTTAATTAATAATAAACAGGCTATCGGGAAGATGTCCGAATCATTTAGGATCAGCCTTGATTTGTGTAACACACTGACAAGCTCTGGGGACCTTTAAATTCTCTACTTTTAAATTTTTTACTCTTAAACTTTTATACTTTCGTTGGTTTATTTGTTGTAAATAAATTATGATTCTGTGACTTCATGTTTCTTCTCGTATACCTTGACTTAGGGCGGGGGAGATTTTCATCAAGGAGTGGGCGAAGTACGTCGGGAGTGTATACTCCTGGTAGGGTCACCCAAGGCGTGAAGGCCACTCCATCTCTCCCTGCTTGACTTAGTATTTTAAATTCACCAATTCATCATACATGTAATTTACTCATAGCATATATATGCAGAGAAATGGCATTCACTTTCATCGTCACAATTCACTTTCTCATTTTATTGTTGGATTTTAATGTCTTATTCTAATTGGTTGTTGAAATTTAAAATTGAATTTTTAAAATGTATATACTGTAATATTTTTATATTTTTGTATTTTAAACTTGACTGCCGCTCTCCAATTTTATCGTATCACCCCTGCCCATTTGAATCAGTCCTCTCCGTCCAGACAACTCGACTCCTCTATTTCTGATAGCTCCTCTTTGATCCCCCTCTTTGCTCACCTGGGTGATGTGCCATGACATGGCCCGTGGTTGCTTGATCTGCCCGGATGCCCTTTGGGGTTTTCGGATTTTAATTATTTTAATATATCTTTTAACACTAAAATTTTATCGTTTTACACGTTTTTATGGTATGGGAAAGTTATATGGAGTTTCTGCGCTGTTGCGCTTGCTACTTTTCGACTTTTGGCTTTTAGTTCTTGTTCGATCAATCTTTTATTGACTCGGACTAGATTTTTAAACTTTTGCTTCATGTTGTGTGTTTGTGTTGTCCTTTCCATCTGTCGGGCATGTTGTTTTCTTTTAGGGTCACCTGGTCTGGTGGAGTCCTGGCTGTCTGGTACCCTCTTGGGTTTCATCTTTTAGTTAAATAACGACCATATAGGTGATTATAGTATTTTAATAAAATAAAAACTTGGAGTTGGAATAAAATAGTAACATGGAATTTTTCTCCTCAATTTTAAATTCTTAATTTTTGATTGTCCTTATGCATTCACCTTTCACCTCCTTTTCATTTCATCTGGGTCATATTTTTAGCTATCATCTTTTTAGCCATCATCTTTTTAGACTTCATTGCCATCAACCAGACTTTGCCATAAATCAGACTCCACCATGACCAGTGGGAGTGAACTTTAATTAATTTTTGCTATGTGTGCTATTGCACTACTGTTGTATCAATTGCTGCCCAATTTGGGCACAATTTGTAATTGTATATTTTTTCCAGCCTTTCCTAGTTTTGAATGCCATGTCACATAATTGTATGTTTATTTTCCATCAACCAGTACAATTGTATATATACAGCATTAATGCTGATTGATCCTTCTCTGTTATAAATTTTGTTACGACTTTTATGTTACCACTTATTGATCCTTTAACAGAATTCGATGATTTGAATTCATATTTATCCACTTATATAAATTATATGTGAACTGCTTTCAATTTGATACTTCTTGTAAGAATGTGTTACGACTTTTGTGCAAAGCTTCCATTGATCCTGTTATTCCAATTTGTTACGACTTTAGCTTGTATACAGCCATTATTATGTAACTTGGAAATGTAAATCATGTCCGACGGACTTTTTGTTTTTTCCGCCATTTGGCGCAGTTTGTGTTGCCTTTAGCATATTTTATTGTAATTAATTACTACCCATGTTATGGGTAATGCCTGTAATGCTTAACAAGACTCAATAAATCTGTCCCGTTGGGGCCGGGGCCCGTCGTTCCTTCGGCGTGCCTGGGGGTCCCATTTCCACGCCGGTTCCTTTGGCCCTAAACCCTTTGGGTGGGCGGTTCCGGCGTGGGTATCAAAAAAAAAGGGAGTATGTCTGACTTAGAACATTAATTCGTTGAAAGTAGCGAGACACAGGCACCGACGATATTCGAACTTGCGATCCTTTCGATAGTATGCCCACCTTAGAACATAATCTCTTTAAAAGTAACGACCCACAGGCACCGGCGAGATTCGAACTCGCGATCTCCTGTTTACTAGACAGGCGCTTTATCTATCTAAGCCACGGCGCCTCGCTGCTTCTTATGTAATTCACAGAGAGTATGTCTCACTTATGACAATATCTCGTTAAAAGTAGCGACACACAAGCACCGGCGAGATTCGAAATCGCGATCACCTGCATAATAGACAGGCGCTTTAACCAACTAATCCATGGCGCCTCGATACTTCCTCCGGAATTCACAGATCGTGCGTCCATATTAAAACATTATTTAGTTAAAAACAGCGGCACACAGGCACCGGCGAGATTCGAACTCGCGATCTCCTGTTTACTAGAC